AGATGGAGGACAGAAGAGTGTGCAGAAATACAGCTTCAGACCAAGGAAGTGTCGGCTTCCTGCAGGAGGTGTTGAGGAGTTGTGAAAGCAGAGCTCTGCTAGTCATCAACCTCCATCAGACAGTGAGAGGAGGGAAAGAAAAGCTGCAGCTTCTAACTAGAACTCTTCATCATACAGTTAATTATCAGTTTTGACAGTTTCCCTCCTATCTCTCGCTCTCAGTCTCTTATGAACATGGATGTCCCTCCTCTCTTGTTCTTCATATCACCATCATCTCTTCATCACTTTCTCTCCTCCCTCCATGTTATTCTCCACCCTGTTTATTTTTCATTGGCCAAGTCCAACCTCCTTCCTACAGTCATTGTGTCCCACTCTCATTGGAATTCTTTACCACCTGAGCTGAAGGTCTGTTACAACAGTTTATGCTCTTAAAAGCCATCTTTAAACATATTCTCTTGCAAGCTTATGGGTCTACTGAAGTACCATCTTATTCACTTCTATTGCAATACCCTCTTCTTTAATTACCTTTAATGACTTTATTTTACTGTCCGCCTTATACCATCTTTTATATTGATGGTTGTATCTGTAATCGTTTTTTTCTTTACAGTTTTTTCAATGCTAACAAACATTACCTAAACTCAAGATACTTTATCAAAACTCTTAACACGCAACACACCTACCTCACACCATTAGCCAAATAGTACATTTTCTGCTCAAAACCACATTTTGTTCTTTAAACACAAACTCTACATTTTAAAATAAAATAAAAACGTTTTCTACATACACAAACTCAAACACAGCAAACCTGACACAAAATTAAATCATTCTAACAATAACTAGCACTTTTCTTTCCTAAAGGAACAGATCAATCAATCATAGCACAATCCATCCATCATTAACCGCTTCTCCTGTGTACGGACAGGACAGGTTGCAAATTCATGCAGGGCACACACATAAGGAAAATTTATGGTCACCAATAACCTAGTCTGCATCTTTGGACAGTGGGAGGAAGCCGAAGCACATATGCTGCTCCACGAGAAGAGAAACCACCTGACACAGAAAGAACATGCAAAGTCCGCACACAAAGGCGGGGCAACTGGGGTTTGAACCTGGACTTTGCTATGACGTCACAGCGCTATGCTCCTGACTACTGTACCACTCCATCATAGCACAATGACTTTCTAAATACAAAGTTGGCATTGCAACAACTGCATTACTTTCATGTTTCAGTTCTACCTGCAAACAGAAGACAA